GTTTGATCCCTGTCTACTCCAGTTTGCATGCCGAATATCCTTAGGCAAGATACTATGATACTATAGGAGATGCTATCTGATGCAGCCATCGGAGTATGAATGTGTGTGAATGTTTGATAGACACTACTAGGTAGAAAGAGCATGGAAAAAGTGCTGGGGTGAATGAGGCAAGTTATGTAAAGTGCTTTGAGTGCTCAGAGTAGAAAAGTGCTAAATAAGAAGCAGTCCATTTACCATTCCTCAGGATAGCACTTTTCAAAGTATAGACAACTCTGTCCTGAGACCTAGTGGAACTCAAATAGGTTTTAATCTCATTTAGCTTACTGAAAGTTTTCACCACCTGCACAGTCATAAAGTGTGTAAAATATATCCAAAATAATACAGTTTCCCAAAAATGCTCTGTGTATGTGGGGTATAATGATAATGTATTATTTTACTAAATAAATAGTGCACAGAAAAATAAATACATTTCCCAAGGGGCTTCATGGAACTACAGAAATTGTTTTGACAAAATAACCCACCTACTTTTTCAGATATCAGTGGGGATGGTTCAGTGTCAGGAGTGTATATATGGAGAGATGAGAGTGGGACAGCTAGGCCTGAGCCAGGGGTTTGATCTGTTTGGCCTGCCAGCTGATTGGGAAATAAGTGATTTAGTATAGATGTGTACGTTGGATCTGCCAGTACCATTTACATGTTGACTAAAATAACACAAACACATTATTCTTTGTTAAAAATAAAGGAATAAGAGGAAAGTCTGTCAGTTTATTTCATATGAAATTCGCTATGAGTTTAATTTCCACCCATGTCTCTCTTTTCTTTTGTTATTTAAAACCCTGACTTAATAGTGCCATCCTACGATCCTACCGCTCCAGCTCTGCGTCAGTTAGGAGTGCTGGCACCTGGACCAAACCAAATCCTGAAATAAGGTGGGTGAAGGCGGAGTCAGAGGCTGAGTGGAGATTATTGTTCAAACGGAATTTTAAGGTCTCCTGAAAGGCAGAATATATAGCCCCCCACCATTGAGTGATCAATCCTGACACCATGTGGTTAAAAATTGCATGTGGAAAAAAAGTGTGACAAAGAGTGACAAGTTATGTGAAGTAAAGTTTAAAAAATATATTTCAAATGTTTTTATTGTACACTACATTTTTTGAACTTTGAGCCAACTTGTCAGGGAGGGAACACACGGGCAGACAGAGTAACAAGTTTTACAAGTTTTACAAATTACTCTAATTTGTTACAGCTAAATTAGTTTTACTCAGACAACAATTCTGATTTGATTGAAACTTAAATATGCACTTAAAATAAGCCAAAACTATTTCACAAATGTACATTGAAGCAAATAAAAAAGACCTTAAAGCCCCCCCCCCCCTACACTTTAGCACAACTCAGTTTTTCACTTAGTATTAGTAATCACCATCAAAACAAAAGCTTTTTAGAATATATGCAAAGTCTTGCCACTAAGTTTTAATTATTCTATTGAAAAAATGCATTGCAATTTTTGAGGTAAATTTATGGGTAGTTAACAGGGATGCACAGACAAGATGTTAAAGAACCACCTAGTTTTATTCAGGTGTGTTACAGAAGGGAAAAATTTAATATCTGTTGGACAATGGAATCCAAGGACCAGAGGTGGTGATCTCTACCAAATTAAAATTCCCACACCCTCTCCATCAACAAACACACATCACATACTAAATAAATAACCTGACATATAAAGAAAAATGTTTAGCATCAAAATTGATAGTGCCTTTCCATTGATTTTTCATTTAATTGCTAACCTGGTAAGTGGCGATGGTGTGATGAAGCCCCATCTCGAATATTTCCGGCCAACTGCTTTGCCAAAAGGCAGGTCCCACAACATCTGACACCAGCTGGTCGTTCGATGTAATATACCGTGCTGTAAATCGGGCTGATGTACATCAGCCCGATTTACAGCACGGTATATTACCGCATATGGCAATTTAAGATTAATAACAATCTGAAATGCTGGACAAATCTTCCCATCACATTATTAGGGTGAATAGCTACCATTAAAATTAAAGCCTTACCCCAAATTATTATTTTTCTCAATTATCCCATTCAAACCACATTCATATGGTTTTAGACTCCAACATTATTAAGTTTTACTGGAAAAACAAAAGAGCCCAAATCAGTCTTTTCACTCTTCATAAAAACAAATGTACAATACAGTAAAATATATTATAAGATAATTCGCTTGGATAGAATTAGATAGATTATAATAACATTAAACTTTCAGACCTCCCCTTTATTACCGTTACAATTAAACGTCATAACTGCTTCCAAGCTGGTAAATCTCCACTACCAGGTGATCTCCTGGCAATAATGTCACTGGTCCCCCAAACTTGCTATCCCCTACTCCACCTGCTTTCCTTTTTAATGCAAATCACTAATCCTTCTTTTCACCAGCTTGGAGGTGTCATGGTGAAGGGGGGTGGGGGGGGGGTCCTTATATCTCACACTGTTCTGCTCTTCTCTCTCTCTCTTCAGTTCACTTGGGGCCTGGTCCTCTGTGATTCTTGGGGGAGGGGACTGGCCTCTCCTGGTGGATCCATTGGGGATGGCATGTGCTGGATGGCTGCATGGGGGCTAAAGTGCATTTCACAGGTGATCTCCTCATACTTTAAAGGGATAGATGAGGTGCAAGAGATTGGGGGTTGTATGGCAGGAAAAAGGTGGGGGTTGGTAGATCCTGTTAACTCTCTTCTTCCCTGTGCTGCTAATTACCTATGAAGTATGAGGTAATCTTTAATTAAGCCTTCAGGACTTATCTGTTGCCCCTCAAACACTTGTCTTCTGTGCTTTCAGAAAACATGGATGTGTTATTCTTTTTCAGATGAGAAGCTTCAGCATAATGACAAAAATTCCAGACAAGAATTCCCCAAAAATTGAGAAAAAAAGATGAAAAGAAAAACAAGTTGAAAATGAAAATTTCCATAGTTTCAGTTTCAGAAAACTCAGATACATTTGAAAAGTCTTGAAATTAGTTTTACAAAAACATATACAATGGAGTTTGTGACTGACTGAGAAAAATTTTATACATCTTAAACATATACACAATATTGCTAAAAATATTCACTTTTAGTGATATCCCATTCTTAATCTGCAGAGATTAACATGACTTCTATCCACTCTCTACATGTATAATAGCCCCAACTCTTCTGTGAAAACTTTCCACAAGGTTTAGGAATTTATGGGAATTTTTGACCATTTTTCCAGAACCGCATTGCTGAGGTCACCCACTGGTGTTAGATGAAAGGTCCCGGCTCACAGTCTCTGCTCTAATTCAACTCAAAAGTGTTCTGTTGGGTTGAGGTGAAGACTCTGTGCAGGCCAGTCAAGTTCTTCCACACCAGACTCACTCATCCATGTCTTTATGGACCTTGATTCATTTGTGCACTGGTGTGCAGTCATGTTGGAGCAAGAAGGGGCCATCACCAAACCCGTCCTACAAATTTAGTAGCATGAAATTGTGCTTTTCTCTGTAAACGATGAAGGTTGCACAGACAGAAATGTTGTAACTGAATAAAAACAGTGGTAAGCAGCAGTTATGTTATTATATTATGTTTTTCTACATTTTCTTTCTCTAAGCACTTGTCGTTTGATTCAGGTGTGCAGAGGTTTTCCTAAGATTAGCATGAAATTGTGCAAAATGTCTTCTATGAGTTCTAACAGTTCCTTTCACTGTAACTAAAGGACTATGCCAAACTCCTGAATAAAGCAACAAAAAAACTCCACACCATAACCCCTGACCACCACCCAACTTTACACTTGGCACAATGTAGTCAGACTGTTCTTGTATTTTTCTCGTACTACTAAGAGTACATCTTGGAGGGGTGAGTGGAGAACAGCTTGTTTATTCTCATTTATCAACGCACATCACCATTTTTCTGATCCTGCACTCTCAGTATAACCAGGGCCAAGCAACTCCTGCCCCCAAAAGTTGATTCTGTTCATCTGGACGTAGCGTTTTCAGTGGGAGAAATGTTTCATCACTCATCTAAACCACTTTTTCATTCTCAGCTGACTGCAGGTTTCCCCAGTATTAGAAACAGTAAATTTGCACAATGACTGAAACTAGCACTACTGAAGGAACAATGGGCTGGGAGGTCAGTTCCTTGATCATTAATATGCAAATTGTCATGACCATTGATCAACAATGACAGATCAAAGCTCATTGATCAAAGACCACTAATCAATGGCATTTCACAGAGAGTTGGGGAATGGCTGCAATCAGAGCATTGTAAGATGGCGAAAGATGTACCCTTAGGCCCCATCCACAATTCAGAGATGGTCTTTCCTTTTTCACGTAAATGGCCTCCTTGACTCCCTGCTCAAACCAGGCGATGAGCATGAATCAAGACGTCTTTGCATCCTGCTTACCACCTATTTGACCTGCTGCCCTCCGGTCAGCACCTCAGGTCAATCACGTCCCATACCTCCAGACTTACAACCGGCTTCCTCCTCTGGGCCATTTGGACTGTTAGTATCAGGTGTCCATTTCCTGACTGAGTTTAGTTGGAGGCTGCACACAGGATTTGTAACAAGTCTGCAAAAACCAAGATGTGGTCCAATCTACCATGTGTTGGTGAGGCAGTAGCTCTATACGCTTCTTTGACAATGAAGATGAAGATCAAGGGCTTCATTTGATCTCGTAGGACAGTCAAGACGTGTGAATCCAGTCAGGTATAGGACGAGAGAATTTTATGTCAATAGCACCTTTAGAATTATACTTACATATATACGTCAGAATCACTGTCCAGGATGAGGCCACGAACATCCACAAATAGATCAGGAAGATGGACACAACTTACCACGTTCTTATGGAAGGACAGGCCCCCTGCACAGTGTGTAACACCAGCAGACAGAGGAAGTGGCTCACATTCACTAATCATGGCAGCATAGGAAGAAGCTTTTATGTTTAGAGGTAGGGGTGTACCACAGCAGTTAAGACCCCAGGTGCAGGCTGCTCTAGCAGCAGGGTGCAAGATGGTAGCAGGAAGGGCATACATGGCACGCCATATCCAAGTGACTGACGTAGTATACAGAACCATCTGTGCCTGGAAATCAAAACTTCAACATGGGTGGTCGAGAATGACAGCTAGGATTCTGTGGGACTTCCAGATACAGACATACAAACTGGTGATGGCTAATCAACCGGACATAGTAATGGCAGACTGGTAGAGGAAGACGGCCACAGTGAAAGATGTAGCTATACTGAATGACGCTGATAATCAGGAATAAGGAACACAAGAAGCTGATGAAGTACCAAGGCCTGAGAGCAGAACTTGAGAAGATGTGGAGGGTGAAGTTAACAGTGGTGCCAGTGGTAATCACAGAACTCTTTGTAGTGACCCCCAAGCTAGGCGAGTGGCTCCAGTAGATTGCAGAAACAACATCCAAGATTTCTATCCAGAAGAGCGCAGTCCTAGGAACAGCAAAGATGTAGAGCAGTGGTCCCTTTTTTGCACCACGGACCGGTTTATGTCTGACAATATTTTCACGGACTGACCTTTAAGGTGTCGTGGATAAATACAACAAAATAAAACCAGTACCAGAAAACCCAAAATTTATTCACAACACACGGGAATAAAACCCAGGGAAAACGAGTTAACGATTTATAAAAAAACAAAAAACAAAAAACAAAAAAACCGATAAAAAGCAAGCACCCTGAAAACCATAAATATCACACCCGAGCCTCAAGTCTTGCGGCCCGGAACCAAACCCGGGGGGTTGGGGACCGCTGCTGTAGAGGATACTGGTAGAGGACCTGACCTTGAAGGACCGATCACCCTGAGGGGTGAGGGGAATTTTTATAAGGACTTCAGTTCATCACACTTTATTAAAAGTTAATCAAACACAAATTAAGCTAATGTTGTTTTGTTCAAAGCTTACTAAATGAAACGATTTTGAGACAAATTGATCACTAAAAATATTAACATTAACTGCAATACTGAAACCACTGAACCCAACATGTCACCATGCATACTATTAATACATTAAAGAGATTATTTGTAGTTAATAGTTACATTACTTAGCAAATGAATACTGCAGCCCACCTGGCTGGAAGTAAACAAAGTTGAGAAATATACACGTGTAGCTTATCACACAGCAGGCAGTTACGCACAGCTGAAATACACAGAGCTTCACATAGCCATTTGTCTAACCCTATTAATTTCAGCAGTATAATTAAGTTTCATAGGACACACTGGAAAAAAGAATTTATTTAAGACCAAGTAGGTGCTATACTGAAATACTGACAAAGTAAACAAACAGAGCAAAAGGAGTTACTCTATTTAATGACTTGATATATTGCAGAACATTTTTTCTTGTCACATATGACCTGTGGAAAAAAATAAAAATCAGCAAAACTAAAACTGATTTAATTTTCTTTACATAATCGGTGATGCTACATCATGTGTTTTAAGAAGATGGTGGACAGACTGACCTTCACAGACACCTGTTCAGGCTGAACATAAGGTCAATAATAAGAGCCCAACTTATACTGGCCTATCACATGTTTCTATTAGTGTACATTTTGTTCGATATGAGGAAACATGAAACTTTTTCTATTACAGGACAGACATGGAGATAATTAAGCTTAATTAACATGAGATAAATTATCACACAATTAGTTTCAACTCCATTTTGTTCGCATCAAAGTTGAGAATTAAGTGAACCACTTATTTTCCCTTTAAAAAAAAATTATAATAGGCCTTTTTAGTGTATTACAGATTCAAAGTATCAAACAGCAATAGTCTACAAATAAAAGTTTCCAATATGACCTTTTTGTAGCAGTTCATAAGAATACAATACGCCAGAGAATACCTCCTCATCTACATGACACATATCCTATTTATTCTCCTGCTTTTCTCTAAACATCTCAAATGCTCAATGTATAATGTAGGTAGTAAAGAAAAACAAACAAAGTAACTAACTGATACTTATTTTATCTGGTGGTTTTAATAATAGTGGTTAGTGCTATAGACAATTAAAAAAATAAAAATAGTTATTTGCATATAACCAGTGGTGACTCTAATCAGGGTCAAAATTCCATAAAGTCACATGGTTCTGAGTTGGTCTTTATTGTCATCACATGTGAAATAGGTGATTTTAATATTAATGGTCAAAAGTTTTGGAACACCCCAATTATTTCAGTTATTTATTGGAATTCAAGTTGCTTAAGTCCAATGAATAACTTGAAATGGAACAAAGGTAAATGGTGAACCGCCAGAGGTTTACAAAAACAACACCCCAAACTGAAAAATAATGTACATTTCAGAGTTATACAAGAGGCCTTTTTTCAGGAAAACAAAAATGTGTTAATAATTTAAAGCTGTTCTACAGCAATGGTGGTTTATGGAGCCTTGAAAGCTGGTGCTACTAATTCCTACAGGTGTTCCAACTTTTCTGGATTACTTCCAACCCCTCTGTCTGCATAAAAGCAGTGTTGGAACACATTGTGTTACCATATTCTCGTGAGCATCAGTTGAAAAAGGCATCGCAATGGAAGAGAGATGGACCATCAAAATGTACGTCTTCCTACAGAGAAACTGCAAAGAAAGGCATCAATGAGTACAGTTTTCTCCACCATCAAAAGTCACTCAGAAACTGGGGTAAACTCTGACATGAAGAGGTCTGGCAGACCCAAAGCCACAAATGAATCAGAGGACAAGTTTCTGAGAGTTAACAAGCTTGCATGATAGACGGCTCACAGGACAACCCAACCCTTTCGAGCACAGCTTAATAGTGATCGTAGCAGGCAAGTCTCAGTTTCAACTGAAGACTTCAGGCTGCAGGTTTGACAGGACGAGTTGCAGCAAGAAAGACATTGCTAAGACGTCAGAATAAGAGGCTTGCCTGGGCCGCGGCTACCACAGCATTCTGTAGCGCCATGCAATAGCCTCTGGTATGTGCCTAGTTGGCCAGGGGTTAGCACAATCTCCAGACTTAAACCCCATCGAGCTGGTTTGGGTACCACACATTTATGGGAACTTATTTAACACATATGGGAAGAACTTTATGAAGAATATTTGATTTCTAATGTAGAAAGAAAGCCATGGGTATGTTCAGGTGTTATATCTGCCAAAGGTTTCTACTTTGATGAGTGAAAAATTTAGAATAAGTCCTTATTTGTACAAGGCTTTCATTTCAGAGTGCAATGAGACATTAAACTGAATAATTTTCAACAAAAACTGGAAAAATTGGGGTGTTCTAAAACTTTTGACCAGTAGAGTAAAATTCTGTACACACGTTCCATAACCAATGTACTAAAATAAAACTCTTTGCAATATTATACTTTTACTGGAGCATCCATTTCTGATATAACACCAATGAAGATGAAGGAAACGATGAATATAGCTATGATATTGTTAAGATATAAGGACCTATCAGTGCTTTTTAGCTAAAATGTGTGAAGTTTGCTCAATGTTACTCATTCAGTGAAAAGATGTATCAATAAAACATCTATATGCATGCAAAGTAAGGTATTAGAGTATGGTATAAATAGAAAATCTTGATGTGAATACTCCACACAGTGAATATTAGCTGTAGTCATGGTTCTGTCGGGCAAGCTGCAACCTCACAGAAAGAGAAGAAGTGGTTTACAGAATATCTACAGCAATTAGGAAGCACAATAACAACCTCAAAACACAAAAGTGCACTCACAGTCACACCAGTAAATGGCAATACATCTAGAAAACAATGAAAAGCATTTCCCCATCAAGAAGACGAGCTCAACAAAACTTAAAGTCACAGTTTTCTTTTAAATTTCTGACACCCTAAGGTGCCTTTATGGTGCGCTTTGATTCAGAACGGTCCATGTCATAAACGAAAAAGGCAACATGACTGCTGTGAGATCCAACAGAAGTCCTCCATGAAAAAAGTACCGTGTGATCCTTTTATCTTATTTCTAACAAGATCTTTTGATGGGACAAGGTTATTTTTTTTCCACCACAATACGACACTTGACCATTTTTCACTTAACAAAAATGTATTTTTGAAGTCATTCGAGTGAGATACTGAAGTATCTCGATGAGCATAAAATGTGTTTTCTTGTCCCAGCTCTGCCGTGTAGTAGTTCGAGTCTGACTGAATTCCATTGTTTTCCATTTCAACAGCACACAGAGGGCCTACAACATGTCCCAGAAGTTAGAAAATCCACAATTTTTGTTGGGAATCTTTCTTTTCATTTACAGATCGAATATCCCCGTTGTAGGTATGTTCTCAGTAGTTGTGTGCACTTCTCTCCGGCTGCTGTCTATAGTGTGGAGATGACTGTTGTTCATATAAGAGATGCTTAGGCCTCAGAACTCAGAGAGGTCCGTGTTGGACTTGGAGGGAGGCGAGCCGCTGCACTATGCTCTGTGCGGAAACTGTAATCATACTTGCATAGGGAGAGTTGCATATTATTATTAATTAGTATGGTCTAACAGAAATGTTCTTATTGTTCACTAAAATCATAATTTCATTTACCTATCTGCAAAATACAGTGTTGATTAACAATCATATACAGTAATTTATTAATCCTCTAGTGGACAATCTGTACTTAAGCAAATACTACTTCATTATTCATCTCTGGAGACCATAAATTATACTATGAGAAATGTAACAAAGTCTTATGTCTACTCACCTCCTTTTCAATCTCAGCCAGTGATTTAATTGTAATACCCATCAGATCCACCTGCTGCAGCTGTACATGGAGAACAGGAATGCTGAGATGTGTGAACAAGCTCAACTTCAAGCATGTTGCAATTGTGTGAGAGTAGTGTTGGGAGACTTGTATTACTACAACGTGACTTATTTGAAGGGTTAAGTCGAATAAAAGTTTGCCATTTTTCTAGGTGCAGTCTGAACATTGTGATAGAGGCTCAACAAATTTATCAGCTCATCACCCAATAAAAGGTTTATGCCACAGCCGCCTTCAATGAACAGAATTGGTAATTTAGAGCAATACTGGTAACACTGCTATTAGCAAAATCCGTTTTTATGTTTCTGTAATAATTGATCTACCAGTATGCCGAAGGCCTTTAAAATATTTTGAATGCTAAAATATATATTTATTGCTACTATCCAGTCATTTTCAAATTTACCATTTCATAAATAAGCATTAAATATATTAAAGCATGTTACATACTAAGAAAAATTAAATTACTTTTAATTTGAATACCATCTGTCATTATGGAAAATGTTACTTAATACTAATCTCTTCCCAACAAGATGCAAGAGTTAATTTGTGCTAGCTAAGCAATAGTGGTATTGACAGTGTACCCTTTAGTGCTTCACTGAGATTTGGCTGAGTGAACTTTGAAGAGGCTCACTCATCACTCTGGATGGCTTGCAACGGCCACAGGATATCACCAGAGAGTGATGAATGAGAAAGGGAGGAGGAATAGCGATGTTTGTGAATGAGAAGTGAAATAACACTGGACAACACTTCCTGAGTGCTGATTGAATGAGGAAGAAACTACATAAGGAAAAAAAAAAAGCTCAAGACCAGAAAAGCTCCCCACTGCTCAGGGACTGTGCAGACCAGCTCTGTGATCATGCGCATGTTTATCCATGGGAGACATCCTGTGTTGTTCCAGTACTGTCTAACCATTTCACACTTGTAATCTTAACTTCCCACCTGATGAAGACAATTAGGGAGGATCGTCCTCAACCACCTCGAAACTCTAGTAAGCGTGCTGCTGCCAGACCCCTGCAGTTCACTTTACGTCCTGGAATTGAGGTGGATGATGCAAGCATCTACCTCCATACATTACTGTCATGCCTAAGAATACTGGAAGCACTGTGAGGGTCATGTTTTTTGACTTCTCTAGCACTTTCAATACAATTCAACAGGCACTGCTAAGATTGAAAAGCTGAAAAGGAGCAGGAGTCGACCATAACCTTACACTATGGCTATCGGGCAATTTTTTTTAAAAGCGGTTGTCTGATGGGGAGGTGGCAGCACGGAGTGGGACGGGAAACAGGTTAACAGTCTGAAAACATGGGCCAGCTCTTGCCTGGCCAGTCCCCTTGACTGCATAGAAGAGGTAGGGGAGAAAAGGATCTAATGGGCATTATGAACAACATCTCTGACCCCCTAAATAAGATTATAGAGGTCCTGAGCAGCTCCTTCAGCAGTAGAGCGTTTCAGCCACAATGTAGGGCAGAGCTCTATTGTAGGTCTTTCATCCTAACAACAGTCAGACTGTAACTACACAGGATAAATACCGTTTAAAAACAAATGTGTATTATTACCACTCTCACTGCACTTTAAGTACATATGAAAGTCTTGATGTATTTTACTGTATACAGTAACCATCTACAGTGGGGCAAAAAAGTATTTAGTCAGCCACCGATTGTGCAAGTTCCCCCACTTAAAATGATGACAGAGGTCAGTAATTTGCACCAGAGGTA